CACACACACAACACACACACGACACACACACACACACACACACACACACATATATATATATATATATATATATATATATATATATATATATATATATATATAAATATATATAAATAAATATATTAATATATGTATATACATATATATATATATATATAAATATATACACACACATATATATATATATGATATACCTTGTAGCGGTCGTTGAGTATCTCCGCTGTGCGTGCACGATAGTATCCCTCATGATCGTCCCAATTGTCAGTCAAATGGTCCATACTCTCGTCCAACAACGCCGTCAATCCCGATACTACAGTCGAATCAAAGGGAAAGATACAACTTGCGGTAAACATTAACACAGCTTACGGGTCAATTTAGAGCATACAACGACACTCAGGGATAGGAATTAGGGAGGAAGGGTAGAGGAGGTTTGGGATAAAGAGATAAAAAGGGATGACTTCTGAAACAGGTCAGGTGAAATGATGCGTATTGTAAAACATTAGATGTGTGTGTCGAGCAAGGTTAGTATTATATATACCCATCTGAAGCGACTTATATTCTTAAGCGGTAGCATGTAGAAGGCATGCACTCTTACTTATTCAATACTGACCACCAAACCACTCTCACAAGTGGGGAAACCGTAAATTTAGTTCACTATGGTGTGTATATAAGTGGTGGCGTAGATGGAGAAGTGTGGAGTATATTATGTATATACAAGTATTTTAAGGCAAGAAGACGGCCTGCCACATAAATTCTATGTACATGGATGCTATCTTGGGTGGAAAAGTGCAGAGTACAACGTGTATATATGTGCATTTCGTTACTAGGTGGAAAGACAAACTGTACACACATACTATTGAAAACATACCTTGCTGGGCCCCAAGAGATTTCTCAAACACCTCTGCGTTCTCGGCAAACATATCCGCGACTTCATTGTCCGCTGTAAGGTCCACCTGTGAGTGTGTGACATCGTACAGAACTGAGTATGAACAATTATACCATTCGTGAGAGGCAGGATCACACAGCAGAATATATATATATATATATATATATATATATATATATATATATATATATATATATATATATACTATACTACTAACTAACTAACTAACTAACTAA